GTTGTGGCTGTGTGCTCCACTTCTTTCTGCTGCAGGCGTTAGAGTTGAACCCTTTGTGTCTGTCTCTCTGGCAAGATGTTCTGCTCCTGAATCAGCTGGGTGGGTCTTGTCTCTAGCCTCTTTGCAGGGAGTTCTGCTGAAGGGTTCCCTGCTGGGCCTGCACTCTGGGTCGAATGAGGATCCGCGGGCCCTGGGTTGTCTCACTCACTCTCCGGGCCTGCGCTCTGGGTCTGTTCAGGATCCCGCGGGCCCGGGTCATTCATTTCCTATCTAATTTCTTAAGGAAAAATTCTTTACTATTTTAGCAGGCAGTGAATATGCTGCATGCTTTACATGTAATGGTCTAGAAGTGATGGCGAACCTTTAGTTTTCAGGAATGGACAGGTGTGGCCTGCGTGCCACAGGCCTAGCCCTGCTGGCTGGCTACTGGGTAAGAGAATGCACCTGGGCCTAAGTGCCTGGGACGGATCTGAGCTCTGTCAGTCACCACTGTGGCCCCGGCAATCTGTGCCTCAGTTTGTGAAATAAAATTGACAATACCTGCCTGTTTACACACTGTTGGTGAAACTGGGGATTGAACTCAGGCCCTTGTGCTTGCCAGGGAAGTGCTTATTCCACTGAGCCATCTCCCCAGCCCCTACCCATTATTTTGTACAGCACATACTTTCACCTCCCTGCTAATATTGGTGAAAACTGATATAATCTATCTGTCCTTATTTCCTAGCTTCTACTGAAATTAGACACATTGGCAAACTAAACAATGCCACAAGGCCTGTAAACAGTTAATTCTTCTTTAAATTATTTGGTAAAGGGCCTCACTACACAGCTCGGACTTGTAGTGATCCTCCTGTCTCAGCCTTCCCAGAGTTGGGATTACAGGCATTCACCACCACTTCTGGTTTTGGGGCTGGCATGACATGCAGTTAGGGATTGAACCTGGGTCCTTGTACATGCCAGGCAGGTTGCTTAGACCACTGAGCAATATCCCCAGTCCCATTTTTCTTCTTGTAATATCTACATAACTAGAGGTAGCTTCAACTTCAGTGAAGATAAACTAAATTGTGTCTAACATTCGAGTGACTTTTTTTTGGGGGACGGGAAGTTGGTACTGGAAATCGAACTCAGGACCTTGCACTTGCTTGCCAGGCAAGTGATTGTGCCGCTGAGCTGTATCCCTGGCCTGAGAGACTCTCCTTTTGAGGGCATAAAGATCCATAATCCAAAGTTCTTAGTTCTTAGATGGAACGTAAAAATTTATTTTCTTTGAGTGAGTCTTGCTTGGGCTGGATTTGAATTCGTGTCTATCCTGCCTCAGTCTCCTGAGTAGCTGAGATTACAGACAAATCCCAATGTTCCTGGCTAGAAATCTGCACTTTCAAATGTCATTAAATATGAAGCTCTCCAAAGTAGGTGGTCTTTGGGCCATCCTCAGGAAAACTGATTTAATCTCCACCAGGGTTTTCATGTTAGGGTGCAAATCAGAATAATTTTTATAATTTTATGAAAATAAAGGCTACTGGTATTCATTACCCCCAAAGAGTATGATCTCAGGGATTCTTAAGTCTGTGGTTAACATACAGGCTATATATTTTATTTTTTCGAAAATATTTCTAGGCACTTGACAGTTAAATGTGATGATTAACTCCTTTTTAGATAGGATGGCCCTTTATATAACTTAAAGGACGTGGAGACAGGAAAAAACAGTGGTCTAGAGAAAGGATCAATAACCTTGACAATGAATGCTAAAAACAAAATCGTAGTTTCTTGAAAATCTTTCCCATGAATCTGTTTTTCAGCAAAATGATGATGTTATTTTAGAAAAGATGCCTGAGAAAAACAATATACCCAACTGCTGTGACAGCAGCATCTGTACAACTTCAGACATGGCAATGATCTGAAGTTCAGGTGAAAGACGGAGGTCTTGGTGGTAGGTAGGAGCAGAACAAGCGGTAGAATGGCCTCCTAACTGCCCAGCCCGGTTTTTCCTGCTTATTCTGTTCCTTACCTCCAGAAATGCAATTCCGAGCACCCTTCCTTTTTGTTTTCAACTCAGGTGATGGTAAATTATTTTCTGTAAAAGGCCAGGGAGAAACATTTTCAGCTTTGCAGGCCTAGACTTTCTCTGAAACCACTCAGCCCTAAGGCTGAAGCACAAGTGCAGCCAGTCGAGGGCTGTGCTGAAGCAAAGCTTTGGCCAAAGAGGGCGGTGGGCGGGGATGGGCTGGGGACCGCAGGAACCGAAGCACTATACTGAACTGATTTTCAGGATCAGAAGATTCTATAAAAGATGCCCTTTCCTCAAGTGGGGGAATATTATTGCTTCATGAAATTGAAATCACAAATCAAATATAAATGACTTGAGGGACCAGAATTAGGTCCTTAAGGAGATTTTTCCTTAATATATTTTAGTGTTATTATGTACAGAGTAAGCCAGACGACAAGCTACTACTATACAACAGTGTATTAAAAAATGTGTTTATTTTACACTATGTACAATCAGGAACATATTTAAAACCATCATCAATTAAAATAAATGAAGACCATGAATCACAATGTCGTTTGTTCTTAGTGTGTAATATACTCACATTAAAATATAAAGAACATACACCAAAATGATCCATAAGTGTGAATTTGCTAAACTTGGTTTATACATTCCACTGGAAAAAGGAATACAAAGTGACTTTAAACAAAACTAAGTTCCTGTGATGCGTAGTAACTATTATATTGTTTGTATGAGGTAGTAACTAAATTATTTTGGCCATGTGTTAATATTCTAAATCAAAAGAAATAGGAAAGTAATCATAAAATATGGGCAACGAAAGTAAGCATTCCACCGGAAACCTGAAGCGCTTCACTCCATGGAATGTTATAGCTCCTCAATGTGATTATACGGAACACGTGCGCGGACTCCGCTGCGAGCTTGCTTCCTGTGCACGCCTAGCGGCAGTGCTGCAGCATGGTGCCGCTATTCTGTGATTTCAAATCTTTTCAAAGACATTTTAAAGCAAAGACAAGCAACCTTACAAGATTTCTGCTTAAATATAAAAAGATCAGTTACTACAACAGGTGGTTAATTGCTTTTTCCATATAGAAAACAATCCACATATATTTAGAAAAGAAGTTGTGGCGCCGGCCGCACGCCGACAGCGTCACAGCTCACTTCTGTGACTCGACGTATCACGCATCAATACTCTGTGCAAATATAAACACCAGTGTACTTGCATTAAAATTAAAAACAAGATTATAAAATGATTACAGTCTCCATTACAATTTTAAAAGTTATAAGATTTATATTCATATTACTAAATTACATACAATAAAAAATACAATAGTGTTAAAGTACTGTTTCATTGCCAGCATCCTGTTTCATAATACAACCACACCCATGAATATACTAAAGAATACTTAAAATATTAACCCCAATAGCATTTTCATCAACATTTACATCTGTACAGATAAGACATTTACTTGTACATCTCATAAAAGTACATTATCTACATAAAGTCTTAGTGTATGTCTTTAGCAATATTAAGTTTCACAGAAAAATACTGCCTATATGTACAAAGATTACATAACAATGAATTAAGCACTTGTGTGGTTCAATATGCTAAATATATCCATACCACTTAAAACAAAAATTCTCCCATCTTGTCTCATGCCACAATAAATTACAAGTAACTGAAGCCAGGTTACTGCAGCTTTTGTACAGCTTCGAGCATCCATTAATGTTGCAGTGGTAGTGTTCGCTTCTTCGATAGTTAACTGTCAAAGCACAATATATTTCAGTAACTGTTCTCATGACCTGCCAGGATGTATAAATTGCTGTTTGCAGTAGGGTTATCAGTTGGCCTACTTTCCAAAACCACGACCCTAAAAGTAACGAAAGAAACATAGAACGAGAAAGTTATTCTTGAAAACTAGTGTTAGAAAAAATTTCCATTGTTTCTCTCTATGTGCCTGTACACATGCTGCTCATTTGATTTATGGACAGGAATAACTCGCTGTTGTAACTGAACAGCAGTTCTAGCTCTGTATAGTAATCCTATAGCCTGCCCACTCCCTCCCCACCTCTAAGCAAATATTCTAAGAGTTGGGAGGGGTAGAAATTGATGTTAGGAATAATTTGTTGGAACTTAATTTTTCTTATAAATTCTAAAATGATTTGCAAGAATCAGGTGAATCAGAATAGAACTCCAAAATTTTACTTGATACTGAAGTCAGAAAGTTCTGTGAATATATGATTTTCCTCTTTCTTATGTTGTAAATCAGATATAGTTTTAAAACTACAATGTTTTAAACATAGTACTGAACAAATTTCAATTCTCTTCAAGAGAGACCAGTTTCACCCTGGATTTAGAAAACACACATAATACTACACATTTAATACAATTCATTTTCATACCTGTCAGATCCAAGCAGCCTGAAAATTCTTGTGTTATCTGAAATTTCCTGTGTTACCTGTTCAATTAAAATATAAATTTATTTCCTGAAATTAAAGATATGAAATTTTATATGGGCATTTCATTATAACTTTACAGAAAATAACATAATTCCTAGGATGGAAAAATGTCCCTGGGTGACTATTCACTGTCAGCTTCTGTGTCCTTTTGTTTGTCCAGGAAAAAAATGTGACTAATTTGAAATTAAACATATAGTACAGGTGAAGAAAACTGCTTGTTAGATTACAGAATTTCAGGAAAAAATTTAAAGAAAAGCAGCACTGAGTCCATTTTATTCATCTGAAATCTGTCATCATTCATGTTAATACTAACAGCGGAGCTACTGGCAGAGCAAGCCACTTAGATCTAGTTCTTGCATTTAAAGGCTGCTGTGCAGTATAACAGGAACTACTTTTAAAAGCCAGACATGGCTTAAGCCTGAATTCCCACTTATTAGCATGACACTGGACAAGGCATGCAATTTGTTGGAACAGTCTGCCTCCTGCAAAGTGGAGAGCAAGGACCCACCATACAGCAGCGCTCTGCAGTGTCCACAGAAGCATAAGGCAGCAGCACAAGGCCTAGCGAACACGCCGGCCCCCCGTGATGCCTCTGCTCCTCTGACCAGTGCTGCTGAGCTGTGCACTGTTCTCCTCTCCCTGCTCATTCTCTCAGGTGATTCTGACACCACCTCTGAGCGGGGAGCAGGCACACTGGAATCACTGCTAGAAACGTGGCAGCAGCAACCTTTCTCCAGTGTTGTTACAGAGCAGGTACTAGGCCACACACTTCCGGGCTTCATCTCATTCCATCTTAACTCACGGATGAAAACACACAGGTGCAGAGACGTTGAAGTGACATGCCAGTCACTGAGCTATTGACCAGCAGGCTTAGACCTGAACTTGTGGGTCTCATTTCTAGAACTGTTTCCAATCACTGAACTACACTGCTTGCTGTTAGGAGAAATGCTATTACTTGGTAGAAGAAATGGTCAACAGAACAAAAATGAGTTATTTCTTTGCTTGAGGCATCTGGATCTGAGGTTTTCCTCTCCTTCCAATGATCAAGTAGTATTTGGTTTTATTTTTTCTTTAATTAACTTATTTATTTGGTACAGGGTCTTGCTACACAGCTCAGACTTGCAGTGATTCTCCTGTCAGCCTCCCCAGTGCTGGGGATTACAGGGATGTGCCACTACACCTGGTTTCAGGGCTGGCATGGCCTGGGTATTGGGCATTGAACCTGGGTCCTTGTGCTTGCCAGGCAGGTGCTTTGGCTGCTGAGCCATCTCCCCAGACCCTTGCCAAGTAATATTGATCAGCCTGTGGTTACTGGAAGAATTTCTGGTGATTTTAATATTCTAGGGGTCAAGCAGTATATGTCCTATTCACATTTACAGCTTTGACACTTTCTTAGCATAAATGTTGAACTGAACTAAATATGTCACATGACTTAAATTGTTCCTTTAAGGTAGGAAGTTAAGGCTAGTAAAAAGAGGCAAAGAATCTTAAAAACACCCAGCGACTAAGGATAACAAACAGGAAGCAAGCTGGCTCCGAGAGAAAAGTAGAATTCTTGGTCCTCACTGGAAAACAGGTAGATAAGGTTTCTCAGGATAGAGAGCACATGCACTGAAGCTGTCCGAGAAATGAGATTAGTGGCTCTAAAGTGTGTGCTACTAGACTGAACATGGTAACAATAAAGTTAGTAAATCAAGTATCACTGGTAATGTTTAGTAATTTCCCAAAGTTAAAAGAATAATTTGAAGTAGATTTGATAATGTCTGTGACTATTCACAATTTTATTTAAGACAGCTGTTATTGGATGGTGGCGCCTGGCCCCAACTCCTGCCTTGCCCTACCAAGTATCTGGGACTAGAGGTATGTGCCACCATGCTGGACTTCTAGTTAAGGGGCAGGATTTTAAAAACATCACTTACCTCATTAGACCTGAAGCTTCTACCTTGCATTCCATGTTTCCAGAAAGCTAGCACACTGTCTTGTAGACAAACTAGCAGGCAAGAACAGCTAAATTACTGTTAATAGTACAAAAGTTCAACTGATAAGCATTTAGCCCTCTATCTTAGACAGTAAGTAATATTTCAACTAATACCTCATGCCAGCTATTGTACATTTATGTGACTTTGCTATATTTGGAATTTTAAAAATATACTATACAGAGTATAATCGTCTTTTTGGTAAAATATTCACTGAAAATATTTGTTACATACTCTGTTTTGATAAAATAACGAATTTAAAAAGTAAAATACTACAAACATATAGAACACAGATTAATAGCATAAAAATACACATGTATCAATGAATTATCAAATCCTAACATTCTTCCATCTTTGCTTGATACTTTAAATAAAAACAAATTGAGTGCATCCCCCTACAGATCTGATCCCTGGTGCCATTTAGGCCTTTCTTCCTAAGATAATCATTATCATAAGTTTGCATTTATCATTCTTATGCATACTATTATTTCTACACCCTAAGTTTACATTATTAGTATAAGCTTTATTCCAAATGTCATACATAAGGTATGGTGATTTTTAGTTCCACTTGTTTTTTATTATTATAAATAAGGCTGCAATAAACATTGTTGTGCTTTTTTTTTTTTTTTTTTTTTTTGAGATAGGGTATCACTTATGATTTAGACTGGTCCTGAACTCACTAGGTAGCCCGGTTGGCTCTTAACTCCCAGAGATCTACCTGCCTCAGTCTCCTGAGTGCTGGGATTACAGGTGTGTGCCCCGATAGCTGGATAATTTTCTTGAAAATATGTACTTTCTCTCAGGTAAAACACTTCATTCTTGAAATAGTGGGGCACAAAACTGATACATAAATAAGGCAAAGTTTAGTTGTGACTTTTATTTTTTGATACACTATTATTATTTTTTTAGTACTGGAGATTGAACTCAGGACTTTGCGCTTGCCAGGCAGGCACTTACGTGACTGAGTTATGTCCCCAGCCCCTATTATTTTTTTTGGATACAGCACCACCTGCTGACCAGCGATCGGTTCCCACCAAAGCACAGCGTCTTCAGTTTCCCCTCACAGGCCTACTTCTGAGGCTTCCTTTCCTCTCCCACTCTTCTAATTCTTAAATGCCTGTCTTTGTTTTCTGAGCCAGCGTCTCACTACAAACTCACGCTAGCCCAGGATGGCCTCACACTTGTGGCAATCCTCCTGCCTCAGCCTTCCAAGTGCTGAGACTACAGACGAGTGCAGCAGGCCTGGCAATGCCTGTCTTAGTAACTATGGTTTTATAGAAAGTTTCAATACTGACCAGGGAAAGTATCTGTCAACATTTTACAACTTGTGGTCTTTGGCATTTGTACATGAATTTTAAGATGAATTTACCAAGTGGTACAAAACACTGTTGGGATTTTTAATGCAAACGCACTGTGTTTGTGGACTAATGTAAAGAATTGACAGCTTTTTCATGCTGAGTCCATGGATATGATGTAGTTCTTTGATTGTTCAAATGTTACTTTATGTCTTTAAACAAAAATCTGGAATTTCTTAGAAATTACTGTAAACATGTTTTGATAACATTTCTCTCCCTCCCCCTTGCTTTGCTGCCCAAGCTGTCTAAAAACTCCTGGGGCTCCAGAAATCCTCTCATCTCAGCCTTCTAAGTTTATTTTTAAGTGTATCTCTACTGTGATTACGAAAGTCATCTTCTTTCCTATTAAAAATTTCAGATTGTCTAGGAAAGCTATTCATTTCTGGTACTCATATCTAGCATGAATCTCTTCATAGTTCTAGTAACTTAAAGATTCTTATATTCTATGTAGATACCATGCCATACTACAAGAAAAATAAAATTTTTTAAACTTTTTCTAACCTTCCCACTCTTCTTCCTTAACAAGACAGTGTAATAATAGCAAACATTTTTGTCTTGTTCTCTGCTTCAATAAGAATAATTCTGACCTTTAAACATTAACATCTAGGCTTTGCTAGATGACAAAGGACATTTTCTTCTACTTCTCTTTTTTATTGGTACCAGGAATCGAACTTAGAAACTTGCACTTGCCAGGCAGGCACTATAAGCTATATCCCTAGTCCCTTCCTCTGTTTCTAGTATGTTCAATGTTTTTCAAATTTGTGGGCTTTTTATTTTTTAAGGATAGGATCTTGCGGTGCAGTTCAGGCTGGCCTTGGACTCACTCTGTACCCCAGGCTGGACTAGAACCCATAGTGATTCCTCCTGAGTGTGGGATTACAGAAATGCACCAGCACGCCTGGCTGTTTTCAAATTTATACATCATTTATCATTAATAACTTAGATTACATTGAAAGCTTTCTGTACATTTATTGGTATCACATGACTTTTCTATTTAACCTTGAGTAAAGCAAAATGTGCCATGTTACATAAATATATATTTTGAGTTGATCCGAACTTGTGGCATTGCAGCCTGAGCCTCTTCCGTAGCTGGCTGGAATGGAGGTGGGTGCCTGCGCTCCGCCTGTACACATCATGCAGAACTACCCTTGTCTTCAGGGAGAAAGCCTACTGGTAATACGGCATTCTATCTGCTAATATTTAAGATCTTTAGAAGTCTATTTTCAGAAACTAGATTACACTTTCCCCTTGGACTAATCTAGTTTGAATTTAGCAACAATTTTAAACACTGCTTTACTGAGAATTCTCTGTCTACCATCTGTAGCAATCTAAATGGGACACAGATTCTCTTTTCCCTTGCAGGATGGAAAATAATCATCTATAAACGACAATGCTCTTAGCTGTTGTCACCACCAGCGGCCCAGCTGTACTCCACTACACCGAAGTCCCGAGACCTGTGGACTCCAGGCCTGTATACTACGGTATTTTCTGAGGTTCATCTTGTTTTTTACTCAGGCCATGTCTTTCTAAGCATGGATTCCACTCTAACCCCTTGACCAGATCATCATGTTTTAGAGGAAAAAAATTTCAGCTGAAGAAGTGAGGAAAACAGAAACACAAATAACACACATTAGCCCCTGGTCTTATCCCCCCTCCCTGCCCACCCTCATCTATCTGGAGAGATATATGTATACAAATACCTTTATTTTACTTGTAAAGGCAATCAGAACAGTTCTATAATCATTCTTTTTCCCAGCACCACCCTTTATATGATTATTTTCACTTTATTTTTCTTAAATAGCATTACTTTAGAATACTGATTTAGTTAAGAATCCTTTTCCAGAAAAAAACTCTAAGAAAAATGTAAAAATGGCAAAACACATATTTTATATATTTAAATGCTCTGCCCAGCAAATAATAACAGGAAAAACACAACAGGATGTATACTAATTAAAAAAAATATTTTATTTATTTACTACAGGGTCTTGCTGTGCAGCTTGGATTCATAATGATCCTCCTGTCTCAGCCTCCCCAGTGCTGGGATTACAGGTGTGTGCTACCAGCCTGGTTTTGGTGGGCAGCTCAGCACAGGGCTGGCACGGCAGGTGGTACCAGGGATTGAACCCAGGTCCTTGCACTTGCCAGCCAGATGCTTAGACCACTAAGCTATCTCCCCGGTCCCTATATTAAAATTTTAAAACACTCGAAATAATGAATATTTCTTTGGAAAATGCCAAATCTATAAAGAAGGTAATATTATTTGCACTCAAATTATTAAAGCTATTTTAGGAAATGTGTAAGATGAAGGCTGCTCTGGTTGGCATCTCAGGCCCTCCAAGAGCCTTGTGTGCTCATGTGGAGCTCTGGGAAGGTGAAAGGGTGAGGGCAACATAAGGTGACTTGTGGTGGAAAAGTGGGCCACAGGGTACAAGCTGAGCCAGAAGATGCGTCTCCCCTCCGAGTGCTACGAGGTGAGCTGTCCTGGCCCGCACACACTGCCCGCCAGGCGAGGACTGCCCAGAGGGGCTGTGAGCCCAGACAAACCTCTCCTTCTTAAGCTGTAGGTGCTGGGCATTTTGTGCAGTGAGGAGGAGACTGACTAAGACAGACGGACAGTAACCTCATAGTACTACATCTTGTATTATGAAACTTCCTTAATAATGTACACTTGTAATTTCAGACAATTACCACATAAATTATTTTAAGCAGTTCATAATGCAAAGGAATGTAGAACTGGCTCACCTATTGATTCAATCTGGAAATCAAAAGTGAGTTCTGATGATAATTTCCTGCTAGATTTTAGTCTTCCTTGGAGATTCACAATTTTTATACAACCTAGGGAAAAACAAAAGTTTTTCAGAAACTAAGATAAAAGAGACTCTTATTAAAATAAGATGCTCAAATAAAAACTTACAGTCCAAGCATACAAGGATGGTATCTCTCTCTAGCTGGGTTACGTGAGTCACACTTGCCTGTGGGGTATCTACAATATGAAGAAAGCTTGATAAACTTAAGAGAAAACCATGACATTACAGCACAGAGACATTAAAAGAAACAAAAACAAACAAACAAAAAGCACTCTGAGCACTACTGTATTTGAACTGCACAGATATCTCTTGCAGTATATGTCTAGTGCTGGGCCAGGCTACTTGCATTTTAATGCTGCTCAACAGAGAACTGTATTGTAAATATTAAGACTTCTTAATTCTGTTGGTGATGAAATTATTTTTAATTATAGTTGAAACCAGGAATCTAGTCATCTACATTACGGCTATAAGTGATTTCTGATTTTACACTCCCAAGGCCAGAACTGCACTTTGTACAGCCTTACATGCTGGTGCTCAGCAAAGCAATAAATATGCATGGAATAAATGAAAATAAATGAATTAGAGAGCCAAACAAACTACTCTCAGTACAAACAAGATACTGAAAACATTTTGAGAAATATGAAATACTACTCAAATGCCAAGGAACATAGTTTCTGTTATAATGATGTATCAAAGTTCCTGCAAACTGAAAATGCTTAAACCACATGTTTTTTTATGAAGTGCAATCCAACCCCGCACGCCCAAAGCTCTGTGCTGATGCTGAGCTCCTGCCCTTGTCCTCCATGTGGGGAGAACAAGCATGATGGACAGAGTGCAGTCTACCCTGTCGGTTTTCTGCTTCCAGTCTGTAGCTAAAGCACCTTAGAACATCGAAGGACTACAGTATTTTGATTGTGTTACTACTGCAACTTACTAAGGTTAGAAGGACACTGAATTGGCTTTTGCCTGAAAGTCAGGCCAGCCATACTTCTATGGTTGTTTTGTTTGTTTTTGTATTTTTAGTAAGGGTCTACAGGGTCTCACTACATAGATCAGACTCATAGCGATCTGCCTGTGTTCAGCCGCCCAAGAGCTGGGATTACAGGCACGCGCCATCGCTGTCTCAGCGTGCCCTGGGAGTGGAGCCGGCATGGCAAGCAGGGGATCGAACCCCGGCCACTGCGTCGGCCTAAGCAGATGCTTTAATCTGGTGCTTTAATCCACTGAGCTATTTGGCCAGCCCACCTCTGCAGTTTTTTAAAAAATTGGTAAAAATGAAGAATCTGAACATACCTATATAATCTACCTTGGAAGAGGGCAGCCAGTTAATCAGTACCGGACAAAAAGCCAGGAAAATGAAGTTTTACTGATTGTAACACTTAGCTCCCAAGTACTTAGGTCACCTTTAAAAAGCACTGATGGCTGGTTATCACCCTCAATCTATTCTAATCAGACTGGAGGTGCGACTTGAGCTATCAGAAGTTTTCATCAGAATTGCTAGCTCATGACAAAATCCAACATATATATGTTGTGTTTTGCCAATGAAAGTGTTTTAAATGTGATTAGCTCTTCCCCCTTCCCCTCTCCCTTCTCCCCTTCCTTCCTTCCTTCCTTCCTTTTTTTTTTTTGTGGAAACTGGGAATCTAATTCAGGGTCTCTTGCTTGCCAGGTAGGCGCTGCGCTAAATCCCAGATCCCAAAGGTGATTTGTAGCTTTCTGTTTGTGTTTTTGTGTTTGGGTGCGAGGAACTAAACTCAGGAAACCAGGGATCTTGTGCTTGCCAGGCAGGCGCTGTGCCGCTGAGCTATATCCCTGACCCCTGAATTAGCTATTTTGAAGCAAGTCGCCCCTCCATCCAGTTTTCTGCTAGGTTGTTTGGGACTGTCTTTTCACGCAGCTTCCATTTGCTGAGAAATACAGCACATGTATGACATCAACGTCACAAACCTGATTCTGTAAACCAAGAAGAGGTAGAATTTGGATTGACAGTTTCAAACCGAACCACTTGGTTGAAGTCTCGCCCTTTACTGACGCCGACACACACTAGAGGGTATTCCTGCTCCGGAACGACCAGCATCTCGAACACCCGGAGGGGACACGGAATGGGGAAATCTATGTGCTGGAAGTAAGAAACAAAAGCATGGTTCATAAAGGCAAACACAGGCTAAATACTTTTGTGAGAACAGTCTTGAGAGTTTTTACCTTTATGAAGTATAAAAAAGAGCTCTCAAATATACAGCCTACTTATTGCCATGGTTGCTCAGGACGCACAGAAAAATCTAGGAAGTACCTTTCTAAAAATTGTAGGTTAACTGTAATTGTAAAAAATTGCAATTTAAAAAGTTTTGAAGTAATTTAGGACATTAGGGAATTTGGAATCACCGGTCCAACTCTCTTTTCTGACATGGAAAGTACAGGAACTGAGTGACTGGCCCGGGTCACTGGGCCAGTGGCAGTCTCCTGTCTCCTGGTTGGATGCTTCCTCAGTTACATCCTCTGCTTTCTACCAACCATCACACAGGGAGGAGAGATAGGGACAGCAATTAGAACAGGACATAACTCTGATAAGAGTAGAAGAAGAACCAAATAAAAATTTAGCCTCATATTTCAAGTGATTTTATTCAATAAATTAACCTATATACAATCTACTTCAATTTTATATGATTTTAAAATCTTTTTTTTTTTTTTTTTGCGGAACTGGGGATTGAACTCAGGCCCTTGTGCTTGCCAGGCAAGTGCTTACTCTACTGAGCTATCTCCCCAGCCCAGCCCCTAAAATAATACTTTATTGCTATACGAAGAATAAATTCACATGTTGTAGGTTTGGAAAAACTGAAAACAAAACTTTATTTTTATTTATTTTTTCTCTACAGGGTCTACAGGGTTTCACTACACAGATCGGACTCATAGTGATACTTCTGTTTGTAGCCTCCTAAGTGCTGGGATTATAGGTGCGTGCCACCATGCCCAGTCTCAGTCACAGTCTCAGTGCGCCCTGGGGGCAGGGCCGTCACAGCACGCTGGGAATGGAACCCCAGTCGCTGCGCCTGCCTAAGCAGGCTCTTTAGTCCGCTGAGACTGGCTATTTGGCTGGCTCAGAAAACACAACTTTACTAGCAATGAAGGAGTAAAACCATGATGAGATAGAGGTACCACCAGAATACCAGCAGGTAAGATTAAGAAGAATGACAAAAACTAACATCAGAGAGGAATAAAGGAATGGCCATGCACTGACGAAGGGTGCATATGCTGGTATAACTACGCTAGTCAAGGACATTGTCTTTCAATGCTGAGAATGTGCACTCCCTTAACATGACAGTAGTCCTCCTAGGCATACATTCTGGCTGACATGGGTACACATGCGCAGGAGAGACAGCAGGCTGTTCACGGCAAAACTGTTCAGAATAATCAAAGCTGAAATAAATGAAATCCCTATTACTAGACTGCATATAATTATGGTGCGCTCAATGTTATATACAGAGGAAAGCAATGCAATAATATTCTAATACAATACACTGGAAAATTATAGAGCAACGACTGTGTACAAACTACAGCTGTACCCAACAACTACATAAACAGCGCTGCATCAAAGGAGCCGGACACGAGTGTGTCCTGCTGGTTCCACTTCATAGTTTTGCAAAGCAGGTGATTTTTGAGAATTAGGTGTTCAGGGATACACGCACATACAGAAAAAGCAAAAGAAAAAACAAGGACTTTCAATTTTGAGGAGGTTCTTCACAAAGTCAACTAAAAAATGTTTTCTCTTGAACAATGCCTATTTCATTATGCATATTTAAATTGTACAAATAAATTAAAAGAAATCTATGAGGCATGGTGGTGTAAGCCTGTAATCTCAGCTACTAGTGAGGCTGTAACTTTGCATGGCCTTGTCTCAAAGACAAAGGGCTGGGGATGTAGCTCAGTGCTGTAGCACCTGACCAGCATACATAAGACCAGGTTTAATTCCTGGCACTGCAAAAAATAAAATGAATTAAAATAGATATGTATTAGAATGGTATAAGTGCCTTTCTTTTTGGTGGGGGTGGGGGTGATAGCAGGAATTGAACCCAGGGTTTTCATACTGAACTTCAACCCCAGGCCTTTCAATTTAGAGGTGTCTCACCAAGTTGTCCAGGATGGCCTCAACTGTGTGATCCTACGGCACCTGGTCTGTAGTTTATATCTTTTTGTGGCTCTTGTAAATGAATTTTATTTTCACTATACTTTTCAAATGGTTACTGCTAGTACATAACACAGCTACTGAGAATGGCTTATTTTTTATTTGGCAATTCATAAATCTTAAAGCAAACAAAAAGGTTTTAAAGTGCTGAAGACACACGGCCCTTGTGGCTGGCACACAAAGCTCTGTGTGCACCTGCTGTTCCTGCGGTCCTCCTGCCCCCAGCTGCCACGGCACCTCTACCCACAGGCATAGACAGCCCACCAACACTGCAAAGCACCTCTCTAGCTCTGCCACCACCTCGCCAACTGCTCTGGACACAATCTGTTATATTTTAATAAGGTAAAACAACTCAAAGAATTCTTTTTGAGATGTGACAAGAGTGATAAAGCAGAAATACAATATTTGAATACTTCAAGTACTATTCAGTTTCCATTAACAATGATGCCGTATATAAATCTTTTAATAAAAGATTTCTGTCCCATGATTTTAAAACTAAACATTCTCAGTGACTGAGAGCAGCTCCTTCATCTTACTCATTTGCTGCAATAAACAGCACTGTACTTAGCTTTACATATTGAGAAATTATGTATGCTGAGATCTTTACTTTTTAAATTTTTTATGATAAAAATATAATGTAATTATGAGGGCCAGCCAAATAGCTCAGCGGATTAAAGTGCCTGCAAGCAGGCACAGGGGCTGGGGTTTGATCCTGGGGCCTGCTTGGCCAGCCCCACCCCTGTGGCCTGCTGAGACAGTGGCATGAGCCTGTAATCCCAGCTCTTGGGAGGCTGTGAACAGGCGGGTCACTATGAGTCCGATCTAGTAGTGAGACCTTGAACACCCTGTAGACCCTTCCCTAAAATACAGAAAAAAAAAAAAAAAAAATATATATATATATATATATATATATATGTGTTTATATATAGTCTAATCAAATGAAAACTGTCAGAAATGTTACCAAGAGAAAGAATGTGGAAAGCATAAGAATGTTGTTGAGCATACGTAAGAGTCACAGTAAAAAAAAATCATAAATACTACCAGGAATAATGCAGATATATGAACAAAATATACTTACAGAAGAATAGGAAACAGAAAAAGTAATGAAACAGATATAGAAAGGGAAATTTCCCTAGCAAGCTCAAGAGCCTGAGTTCAATCCCCAGTTCCACAAAAAATAAATAAATAAATAAAAATAAAGAAGAAAAGGAAGCTAAGATGAAGGGGGTTTCAGGCAAGGGGCAGAGTAGGAAGGCCTCAGGAGATCTACAGGTAGAATGCTATTGTGAAGTCCACTAGCTCAGAATGCCAGCAATAGGCCTAGCACTAGCAGAGCCAGGCCAACCTTCCTGGCACTATGCATCTGAAGAGAGGCCATGGATAGGTCATTTTTAAGCTTTCCATGCTTTTAAAATACATACTGCCTCCTGTATGCTTTTGATATCTAAAATTCCTTTGAGAAAAGATATTTTATTATGCATGAGAATGAATAGTTTCATATATCACATAGCAAATAAAATCCATATTAAGGTTTAATCAATCTATCAGTATATATGAGTATACAATGAAATTTTTTCTTTTCAATAAAGTTAGAAATGAAAGAAGCAGGAAGGACTATTTATTTGCAGAACTGGAGATTGAACTCAGGCCCTTGCGTTTGCCAGGGAAGCAGTTATTCTACTGAGCTATCTTCCTAGCCCCTCAGGACTATTTAAAATAGACTGAAGGGCCAGCCAGACAGCTCAGCGGATTAAAACACATGCTTAAGCAGATGTAGGGGCTGGAGGTTTGATCCCTAGTCTGCTATGCCATTCCCGCCCCTGGGGTGTGCTGAGAGGGTGAATAAGACTGGGCGTAGTTGCACACGCCTATAGACCCAGTGCTTGGGAGGCTGAAAACAGGAAGGATCACTAGGAGTCTGATCTGTGTAGTGAGACCCTGTAGGCCCTGTACTGAATATATTAAATAAATAAATAAGTAAATTAGATTGAAAAAGAAAAGGAAAGGATAAGAGGACAGAATTGGATTGCAGAAAAAAAAAACCACACACTCCATCTAGGATACAGCTTCCTTTTGTCAAAAAGCAAGAACAATGTGGAGCTAAGAAGAAAATAAGTTTTGCTAAAAATTGGCTGTACTTAGTAGGTCTACTGAAGAAAAATTATGAGGCCCTGTGTTCCTCAGCTTTTTGTTTAAAGAATTTTTTCAGTGAATTTATTTGTGGAATTAATACCTCAATATGTTTTTTTTTTTTTTTTTGGTGGTGCCAGGAATTGAACTCAGGACCTTGCCAGGCAAGCACTTATTCCACTGAGATATCTCCCCAGCCCTCAATATGTTTTAAATTCTTGAAATTACTTTTTTATCCCTTAAGTTCCAGCTAAGCTTGAGGTTAATACTAATGTTAAAACTAAGAATAGATTCCTTAGCCATGTACAAGATTTTAAATTATAGGAAGTCAATACTTTAAACATGAGCGTTCAATATAGAATTTAGAATGTCACTCCAATTATATTCTGACTCCAATTTTTATTGGCAGACAAATGCTTATGAAATAAGACTTACTCTATCTCTTAATAGCAAAGAAAATAACTTTTAGAAATTCATTTCCTGTTTCCTTGGTGTAAATGAGACTACATGTATTTTACGTTAGCTTTTCCTCAAAATATAAGGCATAGCTGAGAAATATTATACATTTTAAAGACTATTCATTAATCAAAGATTCTGGAGAAACCAAAAACCTCAAACCCAAAATATTCACCAGATCTGCAGGGACAGATAGGTGGGTAAGTAACCAAAGTAAATGACTTCCCTCTCCTTGTGGTTGTCCCTCGCCCATCTATGGCAAAACACTAACCTGTGGGTGGTTTTTCTGCTGTGATGGACTGTGATGGATCGACAAACAACAGACTATGTTCAAAACCACACTTACCAATCCGTTAGCACCCTATTTTTGACATGAGGCTACGTATGCAAGACAGTCACATTTCTGATCCCCACTGCCTTTACCCTTATGTTTCTAGCTTCTTTGTTTCTAGCTTCTTTCAAAACTTTCATCAGGCCAAATGAGCTCCTTACAATTAAGCAGATTTTCAATACTCTGCCATATGCACCAAAAATCATCAAATTAGCTTGAGAATTAACTAAAAAAAGTGTTTTCTTTTGAAGTACAGAAAAATTGACAATTAGGCTTTCATACTAAGAATATCAGAAGCTGAATTTCATGCTTACCTTAATCAACATAAATTTCTGCATGGGTTCAACCCATTCTAATAGAACAATGCTAGTCTGAAGCGCCCCACATAGGTATTTATGGCCTGTGTAAGGATTTCTCACTGTCAAGGCAAAAAAGTAAACATGAGTTCTACTATCCTTAAAATCATAGCTACATGCTCTAAAAAACAAAACAAAACACCTGGCTGCCAGTTCTAATTTAATCAGATAACAAGGCAAAAAAGAAATACTTTTCAGGTAATAGCATGACATGCCCGCATCACTTACAGGACTTTGTATGCACACATGAAACTGCTTGTTGTTACAGGGTTAGGGGTTAGCAGGGAAGTTAGCTGAGGTTGCAACATATGGTCAAAGTAAATCTGAAGGGAAGTAATCAGATAGATAGAATATACACATTCCAGTGGCTCACAGAGTGTTCTGATAGTACTGTTCTAAGGCAATAAGGTTTGGTTCTAAAAATAAAACACTTTTCTATCTCCTCCCTTTTAATGAATCTCTTATGGTTGATAAAAACATGGCACACAATCAGAATCTTATCATACAAATTTACAAGTAATAAAATTGAATTGTTTCAGATTTTGTGATTTTCTTTACTTAAAAAATGAAGTAATTATACTTGGAGTAAAGAATTTTTAAGAAGTATGAAAAGGGCAAAAGCAGTATAACCCTTAAGCTTCACATTAAGTTTGAAAGAGACACAGGAAATTAAGTTGTAAGAAAAACCTGCTCCATTTCACATGTGGAATCAAGTTAGGCTGCTGAAACTTTCAACAGAGACTCAAACCACCATGTCATCTTCCTCAGACCCAACCAGCTACTTTGCTTGTGTCTTGCTGGCAAGGTCTTACCATCCCGCCAGTCTGGTTTCAAGGTCCTGGCTATCTCTAAGGTATCTTCTCTTCCTCTCCCCTCCTCCTCTCACTGTTCTGCCTCAGGACTTTCGTCCTCATTGTGAATAAAGCTTATGCTCACATATGGCCTCTCATTTTCTCCACTTGATCTAGACACACTCATCTACTGTTATTCTCCTCTTCTCTTTGATACCAGGAATCGAACTCATGACCTCACTTGCCAGTCAGATGCTGTGCTGCTGGGCGGTATCCCTGGCCCTGTTATTCTCTGTATAACCTAGATACAGTTAAACTGGAACAGTCTACATTTATTATGTAAACTTTATGGTTCTGGGTTTTTTTTGCTTCCACATGTTTATATGATTTTATCTCCAGCCATTCATAAGGAAGTTAAATTCTTTTGAGGTCCAGCTCCAGTGTAACTTTTTTTAGTGGCCTAACAGAGGGTGATCAAAAGATACAGTAAATGTTTCAATTTTAACAACACTTATTACAGTAATTAATGACATTGTTATTAATCTCCCTCCAAATACTTTACCTTCTTTCAAACACACTTCGCCCATCATTTTTGTCAGCAGTTCTGAAGGTCCTCTCTTTCATGCTTTCACAAAGTATGATAAAAAATATGGTGCTGCTGAGTGTTCTCCAACTTAAGAAAGGCTATGAAAACATCCCCGTCCACCTTATTCATCAGATCTGGCCCTTGTATCATCTGGCTCTCCCCAAAGTCAAAATGATATGACAGAGAAGTGTTTAGTTGGATTCAGGAAATCGAGGCAGCCACAACAGCACAACTAAAGATATGAAAGGAGACTTTAAGAACTGCTTCAGAAAGTAGCAAGGATAATGGGATAAGAGTGTTTGAAGTGAGGAGGAGTATTAAGAAAAGGACTGATAGCAATATGTCTTATTAGAATAATTAAAAAAAATTAAAAAATCTTTTATTTCGTGCAGGGTTTGGACTCGGTGATCTTCCTGTGTCAGCCTCCCCAGCACTGAGATTACAGGTGTGTGCCACCATGCCTGGTTTCAATGGCTGATATGGTGCACCCAGGGTTCTGGGCTGGCATGGCATGTGGTACTAGGGATCAAACCCAGGTCCTTGCACTTGCCAGGCTGCTGAGCTATCTCCCAAGCCCCTGTAATAATTTTTTTTAAATGGAAAAATGCGTTTATTTCTAATGTAACCAAGCTGGGGAGGGCAGCTACTCTGCCCCGCCTCCCTCGAACTTGCAGATTCTCCAATTTATCCCGAGTGTAAAACACAAGCCAGGTAATAATCATTTGTAGACTGAGCCAAGCCCTGGTCATAGTACTCACTGCTCCTTGTCTCAGGCTTGGTAGTGGCTTTTATTTAAATTTTTTTTATAAAGTAAATATTTACCATATTTTTACATCATATTGCATATGCTTATAGTTGTTTTCACATTATACCTGGTAGTGGTGACTTATATGACTAGTAATGGAAGAAAACCATTTTTTGTTTCAGCTACAAGTCAACTAGTTATTACGAGAGCTCGGAGACTGTAACTTTCATGCCTCATGCACAGGGCATAATAATACATGCTGAATAAGTGACATCTCACATGTCATTACTAAGCAGAAGGATGAATGGCAAGCCCTTTGGAGAACACAGTGTAATGAACTGAATAACAAAGCCCACTTCTCTTTATTCATTTATCCAGTCAACAGATTATTTGTTAAGCATCCATTATGGGCAAGGTGCTATATTAGGTTTAGTCCACACAGGGCTATAAAGGCCAAGAAATTTATTTTACTTAGGGCTAAAAATACTGGAAGAATGCTTTAGGGTAGGACTGTTTTGCAGTACAGTTAAACATGAGGCTCAAGGGATTTTCTTAAGCACTCTGCAAAACAGATAGCTATGTGGTACTGGACATACTTACCAACACAACACTTCTGACACCACTTGGTTTCAGGGATTTTTGCTGATACAGCAAATTTCCTAAATGTAAATGAAAATGAGCATGTAACATCTGCAGGCACACTTAGGATACAACAAGGGCTGACACCGATCAGAAGACGGCGGGCTGTACAGCTGTGTACTGATGAGCGCTGGGAGAACACGCGGCCCCTTTCTCATATCCCTCAGTCAGTTCTAAATGAATGATGGATTTAAATATTTTACTGTCAAGTATTTATAAGACAGAAGAATATGAGCCCTACTTATTTGACGTGCAAAAAGAAGCTGTAAAGAAAAATACTTGCAAGTTTTGATTATTCTTTCATGATGAATCTCTAGCACCTCAAATTATAGGGGTGTTAAATTTGTAAATAAGTAACTTGAGCAGACCAAATACCACGGAAAAAGTGAAAAGCTAAAACCAGGAAAATGTATTTTTAGTGTGTATAAATTTAAGCCACATAAAAATTTATCTTACTATAATATTAAGAACTTTTATTTAGGCATTTTTATTTCTTTATTCATGAAGAGTGGGATTCAGATTTTTTGGCAAGGTGCTTTAGAGGTTCTGCAAAAATCTGATTCAAATTTAATAACTAAGAACCCATTTTGAATGATCTTTTAAAATTACAATTTAAAATCATACACACTTAAACATTTCTTACAATGAAAATTAATTTAATGGAGACTGTCAGTGCATCAGATTTTGCAAAACTCAAAGTAAACTTCCCTATTTCATGCGTATGTTTAAACCTCTTCTGTATGTGATCATGTTGACCATTAGATGTCACCACTTCACAATGGCAGTTTTTGAAAAGTGTCATACAATTTTTCCATCAAGTTGTACAACATGTATGGGATGCATAACACAATTCCAACAAGCTGAGAATCTTTTCAGTGGATATTCTTGTCATCATATCACTGAGTAACAACTAAACAAATGTAACACTGTAACTGTATTGTAATTTTCACCTTCAATACATTTTACACACTGACTTTGCAGGTATAAAAACATAATAATCACATTGAATCCTTACTATATCTTATATATTTTACATTTAATACCTCCAACAATACTACGAGGTTGGTCAAAGTAATAGAAATCTAAGGCTTTGATTTCTGCTCAACGTCTTATAGTTAGTGATTTAGAGAGGAAAAAAACACTGTTCTGGTGTTAGTCTATTTAACTTCAATTTTTTTTTTTTTGTATTTATAGGGAAGGGTTTATAGGGTGTTCAGGGTCTCACTACTAGATCCTACTTGTAGTGATCTATCTGTTTATAGCCTCCCTAGAGCTGGGATTACAGGTACGTGCCTAACTTCAATGGTTAGTGATTTAAAAACTACTACTTCTTTATGCTTTTGAGTCAATTTAAATAAAAAGAGTATTTTGAGTTTGTGCAAAGTAAGCTGTCATTAATTTTCAAGCACTTGTCGATGTGAATTAAAATTTTCTTCTTGTTGTGATGCATAAGCAATGACGCAGGACTTAGAGGCTAAGGCTCTAAATGACTACATAACAGCTAGAATATCCTGACGTTACATTTCTAGTTATAACACCTCATTATTTATTATTGCATTCAACAAACTGTCTTAGGAAAAATTTTGCTGTTTATAAACTAGGGTTATAATTTTAAATATGTCCTTTTCATATATTTTGAAACTTTATGCAACTTAAAATTTACCACTTTCAACCCAAGTGCTTTGAACCAAAGTGCTTTTTAGAATTTAAAAAAAATCCAAATAAAGCCCCTGTCCGATTTTGATTGAAACAAGTTTAATGTTCTCGATCCACACTCATACACTTGACCCTTGGCTTCCAAAGCTAGTAACTTAGGGTTTAAGCTACTGAACTGGTCAGAACACAGGAGTACTAGACTATTAGGGTCTGCGAGATCATAAAGAAGACCACTTGGGTAAGAAAAATCAGTTATTATGTGTGGCTAACAGCTAATGAAATCATTCAAAATATAGCTGTGGGCAGCATACTGAAAGGCAATACAAATATAATGTTCCATGGTGACCTATGGTTTGCTTTAATTTTAGTCATAATTTTACAAATTAGTAAAATTTATTTTCTCAGGGGCCGGGGAGATGGCTCAGTGGAATAAGTGCTTCCCTGGCAAGTGTAAGGGCCTGAGTTCAATTCCCGGTCCTGAAAAAAAAAAAAAAAATTTTTTTTCTCTGCACCCAGTCAACTGGAATCCTGGATGTAGTTAATGTAGGCTATCTTAAGGTGCACTTACAGTTCAATTTACAGCACATAGTAATGATGGCAACTGGTTTATCAATGGCCTATTAGGTGCCACAGACCTTGGCAGATACTCGACACATGTAATTTACCATTCTGAAAACTCTGCAAGATGAAAATACCAGTTCTATTTTACAGATGAATTTAATCAGCCATTGTGTACTTTATACAGACTTTAAATTTAAGTCTGATTTCAAAGCTTATGCTTTATGACAGAAGTATGATAATGGATATATGGGCACCAGTCTTCAGAACGATAACCATCAAGTTGTCATTGGAATAAGAACACAGTGCACAAAGAAAGCTTAACGTGTGTTCATTTTGTGGTAGGAGAAATGGCACTAATATAGAGTATTATCTTGCTAAAAGGGTTTTCAGATTTCCTGCTAATTAGAGAATTAACAGTAGACTTCACTAGAAGACAATGAAGCTTAAGAAAATGGAGGGGCTGGGGAGTTAACTCAGTAGAGTAAGTGCTTGCTTGGCAAGCAAAAGGGCCTGAGTTCAATCCCTGGTTCTGAAAAAAAAAAAAAAAAAGAGAGAAAATGGAAAGGATATATTAGTGGTTGTTATTTATATTACAGACTATTACTGTAACAAAATCTGTTAGAGGCAGAAGCTCCTCAGAAGTAAAAACCTTACTATATGGGTGCTCCTGACAGGAAGAGGCACTGATAATTCTGTCTCACCTGTACATGGAGACAACTCAAGCGGATGTGGAAGACTCATTGAAAGAACTACACACAGCTAAATACAAAGTCAAAAAGATGTCTACATCTGGGTGCATCCTGTAATCCCAGCACTCAAAAGCTGAGACAAGAGGGCGCTGTGAGTTCAAGGTCAGTGTGGGCTATAGAGGGAGTTCAAAGTTAGCCTGAACATAGCAAGAAGCTGTCTTGGGGAAAAACAGAGGGAGTGGGGAGGAGAAAAGGCCACTAAAACCCAGCATGTATATATAATGTGTAGCCCAAACTGCTCTTTTTAAAACATAAAAAAACTATTCTGTAAAAAAAAAAAAAAAAAGAGTCAATACATTAATGTATTAAAGCTGGCCTGTCTCCTTGGGAGTATGTATGCATATCTTTTACTTGAAAAGCTTGGTGGTTAGATTTTGGCTCATAAGAATTTTGGATTATCAAGTTAGAAAGCTGGATGGAGAAGTTCTATATGCAGGCAGACAAACAGCAGCACAAGTGGCAGTTGGAAGAAGAACGGGCAGATGAAGTCTATAGGAGGAAATAATTCCCTAGTCCAGTTCCTGGCGTTGATTGTAGGGGTTATATGCTTAATTCCAAAAATAGATCTTAGAGTGCAATGTAATAAATCAAGATCTTAATCACAACTTTAACCATGAAATTATTCAATTAAATGATATAGTCTATTTTAAGACGATTATAAAAGCATATAATACAATTTTAAATGATTTTCATCAAAAAGGTTAACTTTTACAAAGATTTTTGCAGAGCCAGGCAAATCAGCTACACTGTAAATTTAGTACTTAAAGACATATACTCAAGGTACTTGAAAGCTAAGGTTTTATATATCATTTGCTTTATAACTAATCTTACAAAAAGAATGGCCATTACAAGTTCTTGTAAAATTCAATTTATACCACACCTACAGAACTTTTAGTTAACAAATGAGATATAATATTATATAAACAAAAGGAAGGGCACAGTATAATTACAAATTCTTTAAAGTACAAAAGCAAAATCTCTCAACTTCTATCTTCAGATACAAAAATATATATACAATAAATCATTTTGATTTTTAGGCTTAGAAAGTGCACTTTGAAAAATGCATTTTATACAAGTTAACACAAATACGTCAAAAGCAAAAATACCAGATGTGATACAAAATTACAGGGAAAATTGGTTTTAATTTTGCAGGAAAGATAATTAAAAATTCAGGAGAAAATATTGAATGTAATTTGAAAGTGCAAAGAGAACAGTTTTACAAGAGTATGACAAATCCTTCTTAAAATATATTACTTATGATTATTATACACGATTTCTGAGTGCTCCTTCATTTTCTCTATCGTAAGATTTATTAAAATGAGTTATTAACTACGTCTAAGGATGAACACATAATTAAATGTACAATTACCTTGGTAGTATTCTATCAGGGAGTTTGTGTGCTGGAATAGCAACAGGTAACTTCTGCATTTGTCTTGCATAATCAAAAAGCCCTGGCAGGTTATGGGAATAAAGCTGAGAAGCTTTTCCTGCACAGAAAATAAGTACAACATTAGAGCTAATAATAAGCAGTAATAATCATAAGGTACATGAAAACTAAAACTTACCAGATATTGACAGCAAGCAATTATTCATTACATATAGCCACGTACACCTTCGAGGGAATAGCTGATGAAAAAAATGTACAAAGTTTACAAAGGATAACACATAACAATGGAAATATGCACCTATTAAACATGTAAATTATGACTGTTAATTGGTCAGTTCTTTAAAAGTACTATTTTTAATAGAAATTCATCTTACAATCTATTAAAAACAAGATGATACAATTTATAAGAGAGAAAAATTACCAATATAATTTCAGTGTAAACACGGTATTATCAGTTCAAGTCTTATATAGTCATGAAGGGAATTAAAACATTTTACAAACAATATCCATTCCTTTATGTCAGTTCTGTGGTTGAGTAATTATGAATCTCTTGTATGCACCCTCTAAAATGCATGTGCCTGGGCAGATGCACATGCACATAAGATATAGACTAAATGATATACACACTACACATATGAAGAATGAAAAATACATTAAATGCTTAAAAAATATTACCAATAAAAGACATTACCATCAAAATCCCCTCAAAATACTACCTGTCACTTCAAGCATACTGACCACATACATAGTCCTAGAGGTTATCTTTTATGTCTTTAGTTGCACTGCTGTGACTGTAATGTCCTTAACTCATGCAAAGGTTTCTCTTTCATGGTCCTTCTGACTTCAGGGAAGAGCCAGAAGTCATACAGTACAAGACTGAGTAAGTAAGGGGGATGAGAACATGCTAGAATGTTTTTATGAGCCCATCTTTCCACTGGATAGCACCTGGCAGCAGGATTCACTGTATCTGTTTTTATTACACTCCATATAAGGATACTCAAAAAAGAAGGCCTCCATAACTGCTTTAGATAGTAGCAATCATGAAGGGCTAAGCTTACTGGAAGTAAGGGGGAGCATTCTAAGAGGAATTACAGGTAGTGTGTTTTTCACTGTAAGACTTTTTTTTTTTTTTTTTTTTTTTTTTTTTTTTTTTTTTTTTTTTTGCGGAACCAGGGATTGAACTCAGGCCCTTACGCTTGCCAGGGAAGTGCTTATTCCACTGAACCATCTCCCCGGCCCCTCACTGTAAGACATTTTTAAATCTAAACTTTCACTGTATATTTTGGTCACTCCTTGTACATATGGAATTTCTTACTAAAATGTAGCACGTGAGAACTGAGACATCACTCTGAAAGTCAGAAAATGGTTAGTATTCAGAAGAAGGAAAAGAGAGTACACCTATGTACTGCAGAGGGAGAAAGTGCTAAAAGGAAGATACTTCACTACCTTCATGTGGTGTGAAAACTAGTTCCGGGCCAGCAACACCAGCACCAACGGGTGTGCCTTAGAAATGCCAGTTCTCAGGTCCTTCCCTAGGCCTCCTGACATACAGGTTCTAAACACGGGCCCAGCAACCTGTGCATGAACCAGGCTTTCTCCTGTTCTGCCGCATATTAAAGGTGAGACCCACTGGCACATGTGTTTAGGTATTCTGATTCAACAAGCCTGATTGTGGAGTTCTCCTGGTAATTTCTACCAGTTATGTAGAAATTCTACTTTGTTTTTCATAAAAAAATTCATAACCAGATACGAAGTTCACCAGATAAATTAAGAAAACCAGGGAATACAGAGGGCAAGGACTTATTCCAGACCACGTAGCAGTACACCTTACCACAGAGGCAAGAAACCAGTTTTTATATAACCAAGTCAAACGTTTGAACTGGGTCTGTTTACATAGAAATAAAAACTTAAAAGTATTTCGTAGCAGATCTCTAGTTTATTCTGTAATCATAAAATATAAGTGGATTTGCCTATTTAACACAAGAATATACATAAAGCACTAGGACAGGACATAAATTACTTTCACGTAATCAATACAGGAATAAAAGATAGATATTTATGCAGTTTTATTTGTGTTAACATTTCAGTTCAGATTTGTATTTCTAACCATATGTATTTTTTTTAATTCTAAAGCTTTTCTATATCTTTTTTTTGCAGAACTGGGAATTGAACTCAGACCCTTGCACTTGCCTGGGAAGCGCTTATTCTACTAAGCCATCTCCTTGGCCCCGCTTTTCTTTATCTTTAGTGCCTATTTCTTTTAGCAAGTTAGGCTCTGGGTGAAACAATTAGTTTAACAGGAGAATGTAACAGTTAAGAAGGTTCAGTGAAAAAAAAAAAAAAAAAAAAAAAGAAGGTTCAGTGGTATATTGAGATTCATATACCTGGTTTCTTGATGACTCTAGGTGATCCTAGGTAATGTATTTAGGCTGCACGTCTCAGTGTTAACTGTGACGTGGAGCGCCCAGAACTGCACAGAACTGTGTGGCAATTAAAGCAGATATATATACACTGCACACCTTATAGAGCACTTAGAAGAGTCCAGTGCACAATCAATGTTAGCTCAAAAATGTTAGCTCTACGTAGTAAAAGCAGATGACGAATTTACAATCAGCCTGGGTGCGGTGGTCACACCCGCAATCCCAGTACTCAGGAGGAAGACCGCCTTGAGCTCAGCGCCAGCCTGAACAACCTAGCGAGACCCTGCTGCAAAAACCCAGAAACAATCCACTCCCTTTAGGATTTAAAGGTATTTAAAAGCAGGGTCCTACTGTTCGTCATCAAGTTCCCGCTGCACAACAACAGCCTTACTTCTCTCCCAGGAGGCTCATCATGTCTCCGCTTCACCCTCGAGCACAGGTAAAGCCAACCTGACACACAGCTGTACTGAAAGGTAAGAGCATCCAGGATTTCACTACTCATTTTCTACTCTCACAGGCTTCCATTACGAGGGCGCAATGTGGCACCTTGAAGGTGCTGCTTCACTCAGAAAATACACTCCAGCAGGGTGATTTTAAATGCTACAGCAAGTAAAAAGAGAAGTTATTGCAGACAGCAGCTGGAGTGGCATTGCACTTTCACTTCAGGGCTGATAAATGCTTACTTCACCTCTGTATAATATGCATTTTGTTATTTACAGTTAATACTCTTAACAGTAATATATTTTAGATAGCTCTTCAACCAAAAATATTACCACCTCTGAATTACTTATTTACTAATTAACTACAAGTAATAAGATCCTTTTCTTCTCATCTTAGGTACTTTTTTTAGCCATTTCACTATCAAGTCCAGGTTAAAAGATTTAAGAGTGTAACATACAGTTTAGGCTCTTGTTAGAAAATATGATAAAAAATTAAGATTGGGGGGCCAGGGACATAGCTCAGTGGTGCTGTGCCTGCCTTGCCAAGTGCAAGGTCCTGAGTTTGATTCTCAGTGTACACACACACACACACACACACACACACACACACACAATTTAAGATGGAAATGCTTAGTTACATTCAGTGCAGCCGATTCTAGCCCCGTCACTTTCCCCTAGGGTTAGTGTTTACAGCAGCATACAACTGAGGGAGGCAGTGTGATAAGGCAGGGGAGCACACGGCCTGAGGAGCCCTGAGCTTACTAGGCCTGTATTTGTGCGCCTCCCTGCCCTCACCACTTAGTAGCTGCGGGATGTCTGGCAAGTTACTGATTCTTTCTGTGTCTCTGCTTTGTCTGGGAAATGAGAATAATAACAGTATCTATCAGAAGTTTCATAAAGATCAAAAAATTCAGGTCAAGTATTTAATAACTGCCTGGCACATGGTAAGCCTTATATAGGTATTATTTGTAATTAAGATCATCACTGTTATCATTTTTGCATGCCGTTTAAGTGTTTAGTGTCTGAGTGCTAAATGTCAAGAGCTTCCCCAAGTCACCATGGCAATTTAAAATGCTCTCATGCATACTCCAAATCCCACCTGTTTCTCTCCATTATAAAGCCTTTTTACTCTTTCATCACAGCTTTCAGTCTCTCACATGTGAAATAAGTATTTCTAAAACACAGAACTTAAAACAGCACAGTACATAAAGTTTTGGGATTTGGCATCTGTCTACATGCACAGCTCTATCTACTCTTACTGGCATACCATCTTTTGTCTGCCTGGCAAATTTCTTTCTACTTATCGTAATTTAAGGCCCATTTCTAACAGCCCTAGGGCTGGCCAAATAGTTCAGAGGATTAAAGCGCCTGCTTAGGCAAACACAGGGGCTGGGAGTTTGATCCCTGGGCCTGCGGTGCTGACCACGCTCCCAGGGCATGCTGAGACAGCCAGGGAAACTGGGCATGGTAGTGCGTGCCTGTCATCCCAGTACTTGGGAGGCTGTAAACAGGAGGATCACTACGAGTTCGATCTATGCAGTGAGACCTTGTAAACCCTGTTCTAAATACAACAAAACAAAACAAACAAACAGACAAAAAACCAAACAGCCCAATTTCATGCTCTTCCAGGAGGAACTGGTGATCTCTCCTTCTGTGGCCCATATCTTGTATTCCTTTTAGTGTGCCAGCTAACCTTGAGTGCTGCAGTCACGGATTTATATATTTATTTTTCCTGGTATAGCATGAGCTTCTAAAAAGTAAGAACTAAACCTGTGACTGTCTTCCTACCTGGGGGACACAAAGTTTTTATGAATAAAAGAAGGCCAAGTCATTAAAGTGAAATTTACTTCTGATTTATTAGAGTGTGCTTATAATAACTTTAAAAAGAATTTACATATAACATACCTGCTCCATTGATGTTTCATGAAGTTCATTAAGATTAAGGGTGTAAATCCCTTCTTCAGCACCAAATATCAAGTACTGATCTGCAATAGCAAAAGTTATTGATTTCATTGATTTCAATAAAAACGTACCCTTAAAAGAATTTAGCCTAAAACTCAGTAAATACGTGTTAACATATAAAAAGACTAGTGTGAATACTTAGAAGAGGCTGACACTACACTTGTAAGTTGGGTTATACTCACATAAACAATAGCCTCAAGGCAGTGAAGAAAATGGTTACATGAGAGAGGTTCTGCAGACTGGCCTGCTGGACTCCTCACTCACCAGAGGGAGTTACTGACTGGCAAAGTCTGAAGCTCTTTCTAAGCCCCCCAGAAAAACAGATCATGCGAAACTGACATATAATATGTAGATGAAGAACAGCTAACACAGATGCAATAAAGTACTACTTTTCCAGGCTACTATTGTAAGCACTGACATGAGAAACTCTCTACCACCAAATGGCTGTGAAACAACAAAATCTGACTGTCAGTTTCCCCGTCTGTGGAATGAAAGAATCTATGTCGATATTTAGGAACTTCAGTAAGAATACACACATGCATTTTAACATGCACATGCATTTTTAAATAGTTTTTTTTTTTTAAAGGACTCTGCACTTGTCAGGTTGGCGCTTACTCTACAGAGCTGTCTCTGCAGCCCCTAAAAAGTTTTTCATGTTTCTAGATATATATTGTATATACTGTTTTTTTTTCCTTTAATTTTTTGAGAGAGGGTCTTACTATGTAGTTCAGGCTGGCTTGAATTCACTATGCAGCCTAGTGGGGCCTCCAACTTGGAGCAATCCTCCTGTTGCAGTCTCCTAAATTTTGGGATTACATGCATCTGCTCCCACTACTGGCTATATAAATAAATATTCAGATATAGATATATGGCAAGAGGACAGAGTCCTTAATGCCACATGACAAACCTGGCTATATAAATAAATGCTACAATACAGATATATAGCAAAAGGAGAGGGAATCTTTACTCAGTGCCAAATGCCAAATATTCGAATTATGACCCCTTATAAAATGGCCTCTGGACTGAGTCCTTCTAAATTCCTTGAGTAATGGCTGTCTAAAAAATCAGTATATTCAACCACTGTGTAGCAGCAGAATCATCATCTCTGGAGGAAGTTAGGGTAGCAAAGACTATGATTCGCAATTTTATTATATTGAGGTGGTGACTACAGTAAGATTTCATGCTATGTGAAACACTGATAACAATATGGAGAGACATTTACCTTAAGATTTCAAAAAAATTATACTAAAACATATTTTGATAAAGATATTAAAAAAATGAATAAAACCAGATGCTTTCATAGCTCAAGGTGGCAAGAAATTAGAAAGAGAACAAAAACAAGGTACTACCTCTTGTATCTGGGTTTATCCATGATGTTGCACAGTGAATTTTCAAGGGACACCCATTAAAAACCTTTGAAAAACATGCACCCATCTGGAAAAACAAATAACCAACATGAAACAGTGACAAAGAATGATTCTCAATACAATGTATAAGAGGTAATTATTTTGTTTTAATGTGGGATACTATAAAGGGCAGAATGAACACACAGTCACCTTCAAGTTTAGAGAAATAAATGTGTTGAATCAGTCACTGGCCTAAAATATTTTCTACATTATTACAAACTTTCTAGCAGTACAAAGTTTCTAGTTATAACAATGAAAGAGAAAAACACTAACACTAACAAATTCAATGTTAATAATTTATTTATAGGAGCAGCAATATCTCATATCAAGAGCATACAGTATTTTCTGGTAAAAAGGGAACCATACACACACAAAATAAGAAATTTTTCTCTTTTGGTATCATGATAAATATGGTACATTAATGATTGTATTTGATATTATGAAATAAAAGGTATGATGGATTTGAAATTCATACTATATGTTTCAACCTCAAAACATACAGACCCCCTCTTTTTCCTTTTAGAATAATCTATCGAATCTGGGCATAGTGGCACATGCCTGTAATCCCAGCAGTGGGGAGGCAGAAATCAGGAGGATCATTACGAGTCTGAGATGCATAATGAGACCCTGCACACACACACACACAAAAAAAAATAATCTGTCTGTCTGTCTATCTATGTATCTACTATGTATGTATGTATGTATGTATCTATCTATCTATCTATCTATCTATCTATCTATCTATCTATCTACCTATCTAGTACAGTATGCAGCTTGGACTCGTAGTGATTCTCCTGTCTCAGCCTCCCCAGCTGGGATTATAGGAATACACAACCACGCCCAATTTCAGTGGCTGGCACGGTGCCCAGGCTGCAGAGAAAAGGAAAACAAAAAACAAAACAAAACAAACAAACAAGAACAACAAAAAAAATTCTCAAGGTACAAGACAGGTTATCTACTGAACACGCTGATTACTGACAACGTGGAGAGAATTCCTATGAAAGCGCTGGATCACAGGAACTTATTTATGTGCCGCTAGACAGCACAGCACACGGGATGATAGCAATAAGGCTTTCTTCACCAATGTGACCCAGCACACTTAGAGAACCTGGGTTAAAAATTAACATCAGTTAGAGTAAGATTCTTATTTATTTATTTATTTATTTTTGGTACGGGAGATCAAACTCAGGACCTTGTGTTTGCCAGGCAGGCACTTAGGCCACTGAGCTATCTCCCCGGTTCCAAGAGTCTAATTTAAAATTAAAGTTACATTTATACCCTGTAAGGACAGAAATGTACCAATCAACATTTTTAAAGATTTTAGTATCAAAAGAACAACATTAAAAAAAAAAAAGGGGGGGGGCGGGAGATAGCTCAGTGGAGTAAGTGCTTCCCTGGCAAGCGCTAAGGGTCTGAGTTCAATCCCTGGTTCTATAAAAAAAAAAAAAAAAAAAAAAGAACAACATTAGCTGATAGGCAACACCACCAGCTGGTAGGGTGGCAATAACATTTTTATGCCACAGGGCAGAAACTGAATCACTTAAGAAAACCTAGGATCAGCTACAAAACTTATATATTAAGGCACTGCTGCATCTTTAGAAATCTAAGCAACAACATATGGAACCGAAGAGGAAGCTGCAACCGTAAGCTAATTTGTATAGCTGGATTTTTTTTTTTTTTCTGGCGGGCAACAGTTACCAGCTCTTCTGTGTCACGCTGTACATCTGATCTATTCACCTTACAGCCAAATGGAAAGTTTGTCCTATTATATCTATTTCCCTGCTTTAAGAGTGTGAATATATACAGATATATGCATACGTGAATGTGGATATGTAATACATATAAAAATACTGTATCTACTTCCCTGTTAGTGTAGAGGTATATACAAATATATAGTGTAACAATACATAACTCAAAGCATACTTTAAAAATTAGTATTAAAATTGTAAGTAAATATAAATTATGAATGTAATATGAAGTATATGTTTATAATATAAAGTGCAATTTACAAGTACTAATTTTACAAAATAGAATGAAAAAGTAACTAAGGCTAAACAGAGCTGGGAGGTTAAAAAATTAGAAAAACTAAGGACATCTTAACTACTGTTAATGGTTTATAGACTGATAGCAGTGAAGTGCTGTTCTATCCATAAAACACTAAAATTTATGATAAATATGATATAGCCATTCTACTTCTGGGTAAACATTTAAAGAAACCAAAATCACTAGGTTGAAAAGATCTGTGCTATCTTGTTTATTTCAGCATTATTCCCACCAGCTAAGATATAAAATCAACCTAGTGTTCATTAGCAAATGAATGAATAAAGAAAATGTGATATATATACATCATGGGACTATTACTCAGCCTTTAGAAAAAGCAAATCCTGTCATTTACAATATGTAGGAACCTGGGAGGATATTATGCTTGTGAAACAAGCTAGTAACAGAATGAACAGATGCTTCAAGAGCTCCCTTATTTGTGGAGTCTAAAAATGTGACAGAAGCAGAGAAAAAGATGGTGGTGGTTGCAGGCTAGGGGGAGAGGAGAGGCCCAGGAAGATGTTGGTCAAAAGACACACAATTTTAATTAGGAGGAAAGTTTAAGATGTCTGTCACCTTAAACAGGCTGCTTGTGTGAAGAAAGCTTTCAGAGGGAGAAAATGCATTGTAACCACAATGCTCTTCTTCTTAGGCTTTCAATAGGTGTTTAGTGGGATATAAATTTTATAAAATACTGGGTTTCAAAGTGGCATTTTGGGGGCTGGGGAGATGGCTCAGTAGAGTAAGTGCTTCCCTGACAAGCACAAGGGCCTGAGTTCAATCCCTGGTTCCGCAAAAAAAAAAAAAAAAAAAAAAAGAAAAAAGAAAAAAGCAAGTATACAAAGTGGCATTTTTAGGTAAGTATATTTTGACATCTGTCTGTCTTCTCTACTACCTTCCTTTATACTTGTCCTATTACTTCCTTCTTCTTGTCTAATAATTAGTCTCCCTTTTGTTTTAATGCTATTTTTTCTGTTTTTAAATTCACACATTAGGAAAGATATGTGAGACTGTGCTACTTGGTTTTCAGACTTTGGCTTATGCTACTCAAAATAATATACTGCTCCACACATTTTCCTACAAAAAATACAACTTCTTTCTTTTTTCTAGCTAAATAATACGTTGTGCCTATATATTCCACATTTTCTTTATTTTTTTAAACTTTATTTTATTGAGAAACAAATAGCAATGAGACACTTTCAAAACTGATTAATAGGATAGTTTCAATAATTAATAATTTTACATTATTATCTTCTTAGTGGTTATCCACATTACAAGATGCAGACAGGATATCCTCTCCAAACAGTATTAGTACATATCTTTCTTCTCATTGAATTAAGCAAAAGTAGCTGTATATCTATCCTAACTATTCTGTATATACAGATACAAAATGGTCTTTCCTTTGTATCCCTTTTTTTTTTTTTTAGTCCTATCAGAGATGGGTATTTCATTGGCATCTAAATACTATAGGTGTGTGAATTCAGCAAAAGAATCCAACACAGTCCAGCAGTCCACATTTTTTTTTGGTGGAACTGGGGATTGAACCCAGGCCCTTCACTTGCCAGGCAAATGCTTATTCTACTGAGCCATCCATCTCCTGGGCCCCCAGCAGTCCACATTTTATCAACTATAAAATAATGGATTTTTTTTTTTTATTTTAGGAAAGGATCTACAGGGTGTTCAGGGACTCACTACTAGATCAGACTCAGTGGTCCACCTATTTACAACCTCCTGAGAGCTAGGATTATAGGCACACGCCACCATGCATGGTCTCAATTGCCGTCTCAGCACACCCTGGGAGCAGGGCCAGCAGGGCCAGCACGGCCGTCTCTGGAATCCAATTCCTGGCACCCGTGCCTGCTTGCAGGTACTTTAATCTGCTGAGCTATTTGGCTGGCCCTAAAGAATAGATTTTAAATGTATTCACTACCAAAAAAATAAAAACAAAATAAGATAAACCCATAATGCATATTTAAAAAATTTATTTATTTGGTACAGGGTCTCAATACGCAACTTAAGAGTCATAGTGATCCTCCTATCTCAGCCTCCCCAGTGCTGGGATCCTAGGTGTGCGCCACCACACTAGTTGACTGAACACAGGTGCTTGCGCTAGCTAGGCAGATGCTAAGACTGCTGAGCTATCTCCCCAACCCAATAATGCATATGTTAAATAGCTTGATTTAGTGATTTCACAATCTATACATGTATCAAAACACTATACTGTACACCATAAAGATAATTTTTACTTGTCAAAAAATTTAAGGCCAGGTGTGGTGGAGCATGCCTGTAATCCCAGATCTTGGGAGGCTGAGATAGGAGGATCACTGTAAGTTTGAAGCCAACCTGAGCTACAGAGAGGGTTCAAGGTCAGTCTAAACTACACAGCAAGGGCTGGCCAAATGGCTCAGTGGATTAAAGTGCCTGCAAGCAGGTGCAGGGACTCAGGGTTCCATCCCCAGGGTCTGCGGTGCCGGCCCCACCCCCAGGGCGAGCTGAGACTGCAATCAACTGGGTGGCATGTGCCTATAATCCCAGCTCTTGGGAAGCTGTAAACAGGCAGATCACTACAAGTCTGATCTGGTAGTGAGACCCTGAACACCCTGTAGACCTCTCCCTAAAATAGAAAAAAAACAAAACACCAAAAACCCAAAACTACACAGCAAGGCCTTGTCTCAAAACAAATCTTAAAAATGAGAAAGATAGCACAGCACAATTAATGTTCCCACCAAAAAACTCCCACCCCCTACAAAAAAAAAAAAAAAAAAAAAAAAAGTCAAACCAGCTAAACTATCTATCATACAGGAGATCTAAGTGTGGAGTAGAGCTGACTGAGCTTTGTGACCCTAGTAACCAGGTCCAGTCAGATTTACTCCTGGGCAGAATCAAGGACTTGGGCCAGAGGCTCCATTGAGTTCTAAAATTGCACATTTTTGATAAAAATGTCATATTCACATTGTGTTTTTCCTACGATATCCACATTGCTTCTATACTTCTTCAAAATAGCTACAAATATGATATTGATACATTTGACATCAAGAATCTGTAAAATGTGTAATTATAATTTTTAACTTGAAAAGCTACTTTCCAGATGTAATAAATTCTAAATTAACAAGTATGTAATTTTTAAAAATATAATGGAGGTTTTAAAAAAATAGATTAAAAAAAATCTAACCAAAGACAAACATTTAAGCAACTTGTACTTGTCATCACACTTATTTGTACATTGTAGTTTGAAAATTTAGGCTGGTTGATGCTTAATACTTACATGTACTTTAGGTGTTGGGGGAAGACCATTACTAATAGGCTTCTAGAAAAAAGAAAACAGACTTGATTATAATTATTTTTGTGGCTGTTTGGCATGAAAATAATATATTTCAGACACATTTATTTGAATAAAATACATGAATATATTTTCTTCATAAAGTATATAGATAACACTTAAATTTCCTTTAGTCCTTCTGTATTTACTACTAGTAGACCCAGAAGATTAACACGCATTCTTTCTCTAGGAAATTAACTATGTTCATGTATCTGCAGAACTTTCTAGACTTCTTATTTCTGTGGGATTAGGGTGGAGGCTGAGCCCAGTGCCCAGAGCACACTAGACATGCTTCCTACCTCTGAGTCCCAGACAGCCTTCTAGAGCTTTTGGTATCCTACTTATATACAAGTCCCCATAGAAAACACCACTTTGTATGTTTCAGAACATATATAGACAGCTGTGTGTTCTTCATCTGCTTGTGCTCTGCTTAAAACGGTCCATACAATCCATATACCTGAGAGTCACATGGACCTGACACTTGAACTGTATCCTAGCGCAAACATAGTATTACTTAGCTATTCCTTAATTGTTATTGCAGATTTAGGCTATTTTCAATCCTTTATTGTAAGAATAATGGTGAAATGAACCTGCATAACATTCTTATGCAATGTGAGAATTTATTTAAGGTTTGTATCCTGTAAGAGGTGAAAGTACTGGCCAGCATGTCCATTTTATTGGGTACTGACCGTCCAGTATGTGTTGGGGCACCTACAACACATCAGACTGAGCAGCGATGTACACAATTCTGGTTCCTTATAGTTGTGGCACTACTGTGAAGACGATTAAGTAAAAGTGTTTGTCCTGTGCTTCTCATTAATTTACATGCCTCTGATGACAAAGAAAGGTGAGAATCTTTTTAACCATGTATTTGCCTTCCTATTTCTTTTTCAGAGAATTATCTTTTTCCCATTTTTCACTGTTTTTAATATCTATTTGTTGCTTTTTCATATTAAGATCTGAATATTTTATATGAATATTTTCCCCTAGCCTGTATATTATGTCAAACTTTTTTACAATATGTTTCATTAACTGAACTTTACAGATAAAAATATGTGTGTGGGGGCAGTGCTGAAGGTTGCACCAGGGCCTCGCACACGGCTCACAAACGTTGTCATATCTCTAGTCCTGAAGGATGAATTTTCATGACTTTAAATGTATTAGACATTGGTCAGAGTAGGCAGACAATTATAAGGAGAGCAAAGTCGTGCTCAGCAAAATATCCCCACAAATGCCAGGTATTCTTAGAGGCCACATCTTTAGTACATGAACTATCCTGCAAAGGAATTTTTTTTTAAAAGCTAGTATTAATTATAACATTTTAAGGAAATGACTTTTTCTCAATTTGATACAGATCAGAATCATTTAAATGGTGTGATAAAAATGAAAAGTTACTTACTGATTTCATATATAACATTAAAATATCAAGTGACATTTCTTAACACTATATGATATTGTGGACCGGGGAGATTATCTCAGTGGTAAAGCCTAGCATATGGAAGGATTTTAGTTCAACCCCCAGCACCCCCTCTCAAAAAAGAGTGCATAATATTTTACTTTGTATATCTTTGAGAATTTATAGCATCATCTTATCACTACCAATTTCTGGTTACTTTTATTCTATTTCACAACTAACTTACATACTTCTGTTTTTCTACTGATTCCTATATGGTATCTAGTGCCTATTTCAACAAAATATTTTAAATATTTAGCATTTTTAAATAGGGAGCTGTAAATATTATCACACTCAGATTTAACTTAAACATAAACAAAATAGCTGTAAGCAGCATTAAGGAGCTGCACAAACAAACTGTATTCATGCTTCAGTATACTATGGACACTGCTTACTCCACGACACAGCCATGGACACAGTTCAGAATTACTGATAGTTCCCTTCCTTAATGAAGAATGATAAAATGTGAATTAAAAATTCTTTAAAAAGCTTGTATCTTTCCAAAGGGACTGACTGACTGATTTGTTATTTTTTTGGGACAGTCTTGCTATATAGTTGAGACTGGCCTTGAACTCACTATGTAGCCCTGCTGGCCTCAAATTCATGTCAATTCTCCCGCCTCAGCCTAAGCATGTGCCACTATACACAGCCCAAAGGGTATTATTTTATGTAAGTTGAATCTAGAAATTTGAAAAAGTTCTAAAATCTGAAGCTTTCTGAGCCTATGTTACAGATTTTACAGCATGTCAGATTTTGGATTTCTGGATTAGAGTTGGACAAGCAGTGAAGTTTTGGCAATATTTCAAAATCCAAAAAACTCCAAATCTGAAACACCTGAGGTCCCAACTGCCTTGGGGAGCAGTGCTCAAGTCCCCCTGTGCTGCAATGGTTAGACTGGACTTCTGTGCTACTACATCAGGGCTGTTATAATTTTAAACTGACAAGAGCAAAAAGAGATTGAACTTCACAAAATTCATTCTAAAGGACACTTCATGTTTTTGCTAAAAATGCTCTAAACAGCATGGTGTGGTGATGCACACTTGTAATTCCAGCTATGCAGGAGGCTGAGGTCCCAAGATTGAAGCCAGTCTAGAAAGCACAGCAAGACTGTTTTAAAAAGAGGATATATAAAGAGCTAGGAATGTAGCTTCCTGTTAGAATGCTTGGCTGCTGTGCATGCAGTCCTGGACTTGACCTCCATTAGTGGAAAAACAAAGCCCTAAGTTTCCAAATTACAAGGGACAACTCTAGTAAATGCCCTGAGTTATAAAAAGCAGTATGACATAATCTATAGCTTTTTAAAAATTAAATATAATAAAAAGGCCTCTGATATTATAAAACTCTAGCATATATTTGCGCATGAACATAATACATGTATCACTAATTTCTACATAAGTAGGAAGGACTGTAACTACAAAAACTTCCAATCACCTATCTCATCAGGGTTGCTGCAGCACTAGAATTTTGAGGACGTTGTGCTCTCCCTCTGAGGTCTGTGAGTACAGATGAATGCACACTAGTGATCAAGAAGGAGCCAATTCTTTACAACTGTTTAAATTTTTCAGCCATTATGATCCCAGATAAACATCTATTTTAGTACTTCAGTGTCCTACCTAACACTTGTGACAGGGGTAGCTAACAATGACTTCACTATTTCTGTAGTAATACCTCATATCTGCTAGGAAATAATTTTAATATTCTCCCCATGGTAACTATTTTCTTTGTATATGAGCACAAGTTTCATTTATTATGTGATCCACAGTTAGAAATTTGTCCTGAAGTAGAAGCTTTGTAGTTTTTTTTCCTCTGTGTCCTTTTTTCAACACTGTAGACTATTTTTTTTTCTTTTGGGTGGTGCATAGGATTATATCCAAGGCCTTCTACATGCTAGACAAATGCTCTACCACTGAGCTTCTCTCTCAGCCCTTATTTTGCAAACAATTACAATAATACTGTTTACTTGTATAAGATCATTTTTATAATACATTAGATAAAAATTAGTCTAAGTAACTTAAAGAGAAATTCTAAATAATTTAAATGAGAAAGCTACTGTCCTAATTTATCACAGTAAAGTTATTTTTTAAAAGTTTACTTGTCATATTACTACACTAAAATATCAACACATTAATTATTAGAATGATTGCTGTAGTTTCATTAAGTGTAAGTATAAAGCTAACTTAACAGTAAAGAAACAACTAGAAGTAGAGCTTATAAAGGTAATACCTACTGGTACATCTTTCTTTTCTTTCCTTGAAAGGTTTGTGCTTCTGGGTTCATTCTGTTGCTGATATAATGATCCATCTCGTTCACCATTTAACTGAAAAGAGCTCACTCCATTTCCTTCAATAAGATAGGTTTAAAAATAATGAAAAGTGATTAATTTTCATTAAGAAAACTATTAAGTAGAAAAATATTAACTCTAAGACAGTTTTGTTCTCTTTTACATTACTCATTTCAGATCACTTAAATCATGACATTTAATTCTAAAGTACAAAGTCTTATATATATTTTCTTTTACTTAAACCTCAATTTCTGGCATATTAGGCAAATTTAACAGGCTATACCTAGATTAAAATGGAAAAGTGAAATACCATATTCATAACCACTTTCAGAAAAGGGGTAATTTACATTATATTACCAAGAAATGTCAGTTTGTCTTTTTTTTTTTGAGACAGGGTTTTACTGTGTATCCTACCTAGGCTGGCCTCAAATGCACAGCAATCCTCCTGTCTCAGCTGTCCAGTGTTGGGATTATGGGTGTGTGCCACTCTGCCTGACTACTTTGTTTTTTTAAAATTACTTCTTTTGGACAAGACAAAGGAATCTTTATATTGTTAAAACAGCATCTCCTAGTACTTACTTGGAGGCAATACTTAGCAAACAATGATAATTATTTTTCTAAAATGATTACATGAAATAAAGGACTTAAAGTACTACTTCTTTTTTTTTTAAAAACACAAGTGACTTAGAGCCAAAATGCATTTTCCTTGCTTGATCAGAGTTTAATTTTTAATCCTTATATGGTACAGATGAATGGGGATAAACCAATGTCCAAAAGAGGGAAGGTTAAACATGAAATGAAAAACAAGAGTTAAAATATCTCAGACTGGATCGCAGGGAACTTGGTCATTAAAAACACTGAATTGTAAAGCAAAAAAGAAAAAGTATCTCCACTGTTTCCCTTCTTTCCTCCCACAAAGGAGCTTTAAATAAGTTTTTGTTTGTTTATTTGGTTTTCGAGACAGGGTCTCATTATGTAGGGCAGGCTGGCCTTGAACTTAAAGCAATCCTCCTGCCTCACCTTTCCAAGTGCTGGGATTATAGGCCAGGCCACTGTCTGGCAAATAATCTGACACCCCACCCCATGAAAGGCTCTCTATCATTACCTAAGACAACAGGCTTCTGTGGGGGTATTCTGGGAGGTGGCGGTCTAGGTGGGACCTGGGATGGTTTTGCTGGGCTTGCTGACACAGGGCATCTCTTAATTGTTCCTCTATTATCATCCTCAGCAGAATGAGTTTCTTGTGGTATGAAGATGGATTTAGGCTGAAATAAATAGAATGAAAGGAGATCGATGATTAAATGTGGTATTATTTTCTTAATGTAAATATTAACATTTATCAGAGACTTTCAAACTGTTATTTGCCAGAGGAATTTCAAAGCTACTCAACTATCCCATGCAGGTTATTTTAATATAGTTTTAAAATACCCTAAAAATGCTTATTAAAATGTGTTTCTTAAATTTTGCAGCTATGCAGAAATAAAGGGGAAGAGGGCCTTTTGTTAATTCTGCCCAAGACTTCTACTTAGATCCATAAAACAGTCTAGCCTTTCTGATATCCTCCACTTTATTTTTTTTTTTTTATTTTTTAATTTTTTTTTCTTTTCTGGTAGTTTCAGGGCTCAAACTCAGGATCTTGAACTTGTCAGGTAGAACTTATTCCACTGAGCTATCTCTCCAGTCCCCGATCTGTTCTTTTTTAAAAAATGCATTTAGTACAGGGTCTACAGGGTCTCACTACACAGACAGGGCTTATAGCGAGCCTCCTGATTTCAGCCTCCCAAGCGCTAGGATTACAAGCGTGTGTCGCCGTCTCAGCACACAGGCTCAGTGTGCCCCAGGGGTGGGGCCAGCATGGCATACCAGGGATTGAACCCTGGTTCCTGAGTCTGCCCAAGCAGGCACTTTAATCTGATATCTTCCCCTTTAAGCAAGCATTTTATAATTTCTTTCTTCACTACTGGGTATTCTGAGCCAAGGGGCTTTCATACCAAGCTACTTACATCCTAGTGCTTTAGTTGTTGCTGTTGTTATTGAGGAGAGACAGAATCTTTCTAAATCTCTCAGAGTGGGCTTAAACTTCTGAGCCTCCGGCCTCAACCCCTCAGACTATTGGGATTATGGGCATGGGCCACCAAGCCCATCTGAAAAGGCTGTTTATTGTATATATTCATGTTAGCCAAATCTCAGCTGCTTAACAAGGATAATATTGACTGTTCCCTAGAAAACTTGATGTGTTTACATTAATGTATAATTTTTCAGACAAAGTACAGGAGAAAACAGCCATTAAATTGTCCTCATGTTGAAGGATGCTAGTAAGCCAACAGGAGATGCCAGAGAAATGTTTTGTGCAGACAGTGTGAAAAATTCCAATCAGCTAAAGGCTTGGACAATCTATAAATTCTTATGAATATGTCCCTTACTATGAAAATTGTTCAGAGCTTATTTCCTTGAAATTCTGATCTTTACATTTTTGCTAATGTAAATAAGCAAGCACAGCATCATTTATTTGTGTGAATCAAGATTTTCTCCATAGTATAAAGTGAAAACTATAAGTCAAAATCTGTAAGTTAGATACAAGAGTGTAAGCCGTTAACCCCAATTTAGAATACCCTCACTTCACTTCAAATTTATTTTTTTTATTCTTTTTTTTTTCTCCATAATTTTGAGAAAGAAATAGCAATGAGACTGTTTCAAATCAAATTGGTAGGACAGTTTCAATAATTAACACATTGCATACATTCTTCCTAGGGGTTAACTGCTGTACAAGATGTGGACATGATATCCTATTTACAAACACTATTAGAACAAATCCCTCTATTCATTAAGAGAATGTAACTATATATCTATCCTAACCATTTTGAATACACAGATACAAACTGGACATTCATCTGTATCCCCTTTTTTCATTCAGTTTTGTTATTTGAATATTATAGGTGTGTTAACTCAGCAAAATATTCTTGGAAAAAATAAAGAAAAATATCAACGAATTTTCCCTTTCACAACATCTACATAAGCAAATAAGTTTTAAGGGGGTACTAAATGGGTGAAAGAGTTTATTCTAAATAGAAATATGAAACAAAAAATACATAAAATTAACATAGCTAAGCCTATACTCAGCAAAATATTCTAAAGAGTCCAGTAGTCCATAATAGTATTGGGTCTTCCACTTCACTGGCAATGTCAGAAATTGTTGACCTGAGTCCCCTACAGCTCAACATAACACCATGGCTTTACTTCTTATACTTCGTCTTTATACTTTTCTGTTGGATGGTTAAGACCAAGGTAAAGCAGGACCTATGCAACAAGAGTTGTAGTTTTTGGGTCTGATAAAGTCAGTGAAATCCCCTCAGGATTTATGCTGAGATCCTGTACCTCAGATTGTAGAACCTTTGTCAGTGTCAGCCATGTGGATGAGTCACGGCCATTGCTTGGCCAATGTGCTCTCTGTGAAAGCCTGAGAGAATGTTTTCTCTCCATGTGACTCTCCTTAGGCACACTCTACATCATCAATCACTTTCCTCTTTGGCCCCATAATCTCCTTGATCAGAAAATTTGGGACACTGCCGAGTTACATGACATTACGGTACAAGTTCTCATATGTCCTGAGTCTTAATTGACCTTGGAAGGCTAGGGCCAAAATGTTGGCTTTCCTTGTGGCCCTCCCTTTTCTCCAATTCTGGTCTGCAAACTTAGGTTGTTAACCCTCCAGAAGGCAAGCTTATTGTTATTACCATACAACCTAGGCTGTTAAGCTTAACCTCACTATTTGTCTGAATATCAAACATCTTAGGTATAACATGGAACAAGTATTTTTCATCAAGTATTGATATGTTGAACCCTAAGTCCCTACAGAATATGATGAAAAAACATTTAAAAATTAGAATATATATTTCACAAATAGGCATAACAAATTATATAATTCTTATGTTTACACATAAGTCCAAAAATCTAACCATATACAACCTTGAAGGACAGTCCCATAACATTCCTTTTCCTGTCTCTTGCCTTCATTCACCACCCCCCTCTTTTTGAACAATCATCTACCCGAGAGATAGCACAGCAGCAACTGGCATGTCATGACAAGGAGCCTGTATTCAGAAGACCAGAATGACTGGCACTCCAAGCATGAAACTACTATTACACATTACCATCTTCAGTGCAGTTGCTTAGTTCACAGGTATCAGTATATATAGTCAGGGTGAGAATCTTTCCAATTAACTGTTAGATTAAAAAATCTTCTGGAGATTCTCAGGATCATTGCCTTTCCCATCTTCTACATATAACTATAATGGCTTGTCACTGTCATGTTTCCTAGCTCTTCTCCTTTCCCTCTCTTAATTAGTTAGTCCTTGAGTTCCTGCTTTCCTTTTACTTGTATTACACCTTTCTATTTGTATTTCTTCTTTTGAGTTCTTCTACTAGGGAAACTATATGATATTTACACGTGTGTCTGGTTTATTTCACTTATAAGTATATCTTCAAGTGGCATCCACTTCGATATAAAGGTTTCGAGTTTATCATTATTTATAGCTGAGTAATACTCCATTGTATAAAAATACCACATCTTTTTCAACCATTCCTCAGGAGATGAACTTCTTGGTTGTTTCCAAGATTTGGTTATCACAAATTGTGCTGTTATAAACATAGGCACACATATATCCCTATGATATGATGTTTTCAGATCCGCCGGGAAAATTCCCACTAGAGGAATAGCTGGTTTAAATGGGATTTCCAGTCCAATTTTTCTAAGGAGTCTCCACGCTGATTTCCATAACGCCTGCA